GTTCTTCATTTACATAATCTATATACTCATATGTTTTTTCGTTCTCAATTACATGTCACAAGTGTTTCATAGTCCTATTATCGAACAAGGCAGATTTATATAATTTCCTCATTAATTATGCAAATTAGTTTCGGATTTGTCCGGATAATTGTCATTTGATTATGTCAAGCATCACTTCAGCTACCTACATACCAAACATCACGACAATCCGTCAATTGGTTCTTGAGTTATCCTCCTTCGAATTTTTTTTTCAACAAATGCTCCTGCAGTTACACAACAAGGCGCTAGGGGGCCCATGTCACTTCTTCCCAAGAGCTATCTACCACAAAAAAATCGTTACCCCAGCATGTCTAGATCACTGGATATCAAAACCGGACGTTCTGATGCAGTACCAAGGAAAGCCGCCAGGGGACCCAAAATCTATTCTTTTTTAGCTCTTTTAGAGATCTGGCTACCTACTAAGTTTCATGACAATGCATATTAAGCTTCTTGAGTTACGCTGTTCACAAACAGACGGTGCTACTGAAAACATTAACCTTCTTGGCGAACGTAATTACAATCATTATTGTATGATAACACTTATAGAATAGTGGGTTATGTATTGTGAATTCCGAGCAACAACACCTTTAAACCCAGGGCATACTGGGCCAGGCCAAACCCCCTGTCAATCAAGTGAAAGAAAAACTTAGCCCATCCACTTTGGAACCCAAACATGTAAACCTAGCACTGAAATAAAGAAATAAAGAAAGAATAAGCCTATTCGCCATTACTAGTGCGCCTGCGCGGCCCATCCCTAGCAACCGAGAAATTCTAGAATAACAAACTCGGGGCCGCCATTGTTCCAAGCTCTAGCGTAAGTCTAAATTTCCAGCTTACACACGGCGTTACTGGTCTTGGCCCGCCTCGGGGTGAGTTCCAACGATGTTCTGGACCTAGCGAGCCTAAAATATCGTGATATCTTTCTCTTCAAAAGGATTTACGGTACGTTTTTTCACGGTATCCAAGCTATCGCTAGCGCCTAATTAGTATGCATGCCCCCTCCCCCATCCTGCACTCCTTCCGTCTTCATATTTTTCGCTTAATTTTCTGGTTCAATCTCGATAAAACGAGTTTTGGAATACTTTTTTTTCGTTTAAGAGTGGTTATTTGTGTAAGATAATGGTGGAATCTTTTAGTGGTATATGTTTTAAATAAACTGCATGAGCTTTGTCTTCAGCAGACTGATACGCTACGTGTTCTTGTGTCACCGTAAGCACATAGAGCTTTCTAACCACAATCCTCACCGTCTCACCACGAAATTGTTACCTATTAAAATAATGATTTAGGAATAGCAAAAGCAGTGATGACATCAATATTTTTGTAACTATTTAGAGTAGTTTTCGTAGCGGTATACATAGGCTCACGTGGGTTTTGTGCATGCAAATGCCATTACAATAGTGCATTCAAGACTTGATGTTTTGAACTTAAATCCATGTATTGTAACTTTTGGTTGGATTTTTTTCTCTCTTTCTCTTTTACAGTGTTACTTTCCCGACCTCAACATGGAGCTGTTTGCAGTAGTGAATTACAGCAATTCAACTTACCATCTAGAAGAATTGAAGAGACATGCCAAATACATGGTACAAAAAATGGACCATTTTCCACTGAGAAGAAAAACCTGATGCTAGAAGAGGGAATAAACTTATGAACAAGCTTGAAGCCAAACCCAGATGGAATATACTAATAATACACATACACTTAGGTTCTGAAATGGTTTCATGAAAGCATGTTGTAGCCCGCACATAAACAGTGCTGCAAATTGTAATCATGACAGATATTTTATGTACTGAATTTTGATAGTTCTGTGCCTTAATACTTTTAGTTTAACAAGGGTCTGCTGTTAATAAATTCAATATGATTCTCTTTTCACTTATTAACATGAATTAGTGGAAAATACATGTAGTATATTTGAACATGATGAATATTCAAGTCCTTAACACTATATTTACCACTTAAGATACCTTTTTCCGCATTCAGTTGAGAAAGCTGTGGTGAACTGGTGTAGTCGACTCCTTCGTGCATGCACCACAGGTGCTCCCAGTGATGGTCTAAGTACTAATACTTAAGTTTAGATTCTGTCCACTGACTGCTGACCATAAGATCAGGTGTATGTCGAGAACTCCAGTCATTCACACTACTTACACCAAACACCTGACCCCTGGGTTTGGACCTTGAAAATGGAATATTTAATTACTCTCTTGTTTTCTAACACAAGAAAAACAAGTCAGTTAACTGCATCGACAGTACTACATACTCACTCACACTCACTATCCGGTTTATCGTCTACATACTAAATAATATTTGATATACAGCAAAGGTTGTACGATGACGATTACTTGATTACAGTAAACATTCACACTAATAGAAAACATACAAGCACCGTTACTTACTGTGTTAACACACAAACAGCCCTGCAATCAAAGTGATATAGAAAATACAATAATGCCACAGCACTTGGCTCAGATAGTTGATGCAGACAGATATAGTTGAAAACTCAAATTTCTTGAGTTGGAGGACAGTTTTTTTTCTCTTAATAAAATATGTAACTTATCAAGTCAGATAACCTTTCAACCCGGACAATGATTATTCTGTCTGTTACATATATACTATAAAGAAAACAAAACAAGCACCATTTTGATATTTTTCTTATTCCCATATCTCTCTATATGTGGACAGCACTTAATGAATGGTGCATAGGAAGTAAGATAGAAGCAAGACATTGTGAAACATACAATGCCATATATGTTGAGAAAGACTTGTACACTAACACAAGTATTACTGGCAACATGCAACAATCCTTTACTAAACAAGGTTCTTCAAGGAAAATTAATGCCATGGTTGCTTGAATACTACTGTTATATCTGTATCCTGGGTCTGTGGACAAGTTCGTCTCCGCGGCCAAGACGGTGTGGACTAAGGAGGTAAGATGTGAGATGTGCCAGTTTGAGGAAGCAATGATCTCTGTCTGCAGCTAGAGTAATGTGGTGGTAATAGACTTCGTTTTCCCATTCAAAATCGAAGTAGGAGTATGTTTTCTCCTCATTATAGTCGCCCGACATGTCGACAGCCGTATACTCAATGTGGGAGGCACAGGGCCGGCTCGCTAAACTCAGTGCTCGGCCGATTTTTAAGTGCGGGGGGAGGGGCATTCCTTCGGTTCGACGAACTACCCCTCAGTAAAGCCCACCGGGCCTGGAATAGGTGAGTTTTGTATTCTTGACTATTAATAATTCTTGACATTCACAACTGAACTTGCCGCTGTCTTCGGCGAATTCGGCAACCACGTCGTGATTCTTTTAAGCATAGTACTACGAAGTTGTATGCCGCCTTGAAGTTGTAGGCTTTCCCCCCCTGGACATGACTCGCGGAAACGCCTTGAAAACCGGCACTTACCGGCGTCTAACCTCAACCAAGAAACGGTTGTCATCTTTGCCGTCCAATAAGATATAAAATCACCACTTACGGCCCGGGTAAACTCATATTTTTGAGCTACGTAGCGGGATTCGGCACCCGCGCTCGCTGTGTCGCGGGGACCATACAGTTAGTTTATCTAGAAAAATGGCAAATTTTACCCATCATGCATTTCGCGCCGGTAAAGGCTTATTAAAACCGCCACAAACAATACTTCTAAGACGTCCTCTGGTATGTTACAGGTACATCTCTGCAAAAAGCGGGTGAATTTAACCGAAACAATGGTATTTTCAGTCGCTAAAAACCGTAAACTTAACTGGTACGTAAGCCCTGCATCTTTAAACCATGGCCATTTTCTTTTTTAAATAAGACTGAAAATATTTAATAAGGTGCACACAGTACGCACTTCCTCAGTCTAGTTTTAAGTTGTCTGACGTCACGGGCAAGACAGAGCGACTTCAGTGTCGCAGTGTTCTCGCTATTAATCTTTCCTATACTTTTCCTATACTTCCAACAAGGGCAGCCCTGTATCCGATGTAAGTTAATTTTATTAATCAGACCATCATACTTTTTAGATTTTCTGTCCTTAGCGTGCTGCGCATTCTGTTCACAATGGACAGTATGTTCAACCAGGGTAAGCTTTAGTTTTACAGGATCCTTCTTTGTGGTCACATAATCCTCCCCAAACCCTTCGTTACCAATGGTTAAAAAAAGATATTTTTTTTCATTCCTTGAGCGTATTAGAACATAAGATCAAATCAGTTGTTCGTGTGTACACTACGGCGATTCACTAAACCGAACTAGTGCCAGTGCGTACACAGGACAGATGCTGATTTCAAACTCTCCTTTTTCTTTTTTAAATAATTAATAGCTGATTATGTTCCTCTCTTTCTCAATTGAATATGTCACTTCAAACACTTTTAAGACTTGCCAGACTTTATATGATATTATTATTTATGATATTTTATGATATTTGGCTAATGCTATTATTTCTGCCTTGTGAATAGCCCAGTGTTTTTGTTATTGGAATCACTTGTCGCTAAACAGTTATTGTAAAATTTAAAAAAATAGCCTTTACGTACATGTAATCATCGTCACAATAACGTACCCTGGTCCGCCATTTGCACCACTCTGTCCAAAGGTTTCCGTGCCTGAGTTGAATGAACCTCCTCCCCCTGCACATTGAACGAAACCTTTTTCCCCACCTCTTGCCCCACCTGAATATCCTCCTCCTCCTCCCCATCCCACGCCACCGATCATACCGTATCCTCCCCCTCCGCCACCAAAACCTCCATATCCACCACAGGGTCCCCACCCACCTTTACCTCCATTTACAAACGCCGTTCCACTATTCGATCCACTCATAATACCATCAAAGGTTTTGAAGGTATGAAAATCACCCGCCCCGTCTGTCAGCAGACCTCCCCCACCCCCTCCGTCATAAGCTGGCCAGCTCTGTACTGGGACCCCCCTGCCGCTAGGGTTGCGGCCTGTTGTTTCCTTAGTACCGTCACTAAAACAGCATTCAGGATGAACCATTTCTGACCCACTGCCCCCGCCGCCTGCAATGATGAGGGGAGTGTTGTCGTCCCGGGTGACAAACGTCCCTCCACCCCCACCTGCACCTTTGAAGAAGTAACATGCATGTTCTTCCATCCACCCACCCTCCTGTCCGACAAGGATCTTCAGCACATCACCTGGGGAAAAAGACATGCAGATATAAAGTGAAAACTTAAAACTTCGCTTAAAACTAATATGTAACTACCTTTGCCAAGATTATTGTTTTCGTAAGCTTTCGTGTGTGTATCTTTGTGTGTGTGTGTGTGTGTGTGTGTGTGCTTGTGCGTGTGACTGTCAACACGAAAACTGGAGAATGCTTAGATGAATTTTGTCTTGATGATTGGAATGTTGGAAGATCATTAATAAAACCTTAAATGATATCAATAATAACCCAATTGTAATGGTTAAGCTTCTGTTGATAATTGCTGACATCATTTGCGTAAGGTATGATTCGTACATAAATGACATTCCTATTGTAAGATCAGTGCAGTAGCAGAAACAAGAAGACCGCCATCGTAAAAAGACATTGCCATGGCGACGACGGTCTCTAGCTATGTCTAAGATTTTCACTACCCATAACCTATGAAAGCTTTTCTGCCGTTTCCTCACAAATTATACTAGAAAGCCTTTCTTCCATTCCACGTAAATTATGCAACTTATGTGATTTTAATAATTTGTGTTAATTGAGGTTCACCTTTGTTACCAATATGGAATCATATTATCTTCTGATTAGTCATGCACTCAGTAAGGTTAAGTCAATTTTGACCCTCCAGCCTAATTAACTCCTGACCCGACTTTCATGCGTAATTCACAATTTCCTGATGTTTTCTGTCCAAAATTGCTGACATGTTTTGATGATGCATATTGTTAAGATACAATCTGACCACATTTGTTTCACATATACCTTATCCATATCTCAATATTAATATAATAAGCACTTGTCAATTTAGCTACCTTTAAACACCTCGTGCTTCGCACAGACATCCTTTTTAAAGACAAATTTGGTATGTACGCATTCAGCAAAGAAAACTCTACAACATCCCGTTGAGGCTGTGTCTAGAACTATAACTAGAACAAAGATTTTTCATATTATATAAAAAAATTGACAAAAATATGCCATTGGAAATATTCATGAAGGCATAGCTGAGCACTGGAATCCTCCAAGATAATGGTCTCAACGAGAGATTGTTGTACAACTTGTCTTCTTTCCAACCATCTTTGTTGTAAGTTAGAATAATATAATCTGAGCAAGCACCACTTGATTAAAAAATGGACTACAAAATTTAGACTTTTGGCATCCCTAGATGTGAAATATGACCTCTTTGTTGTTATTTGGGAACAATATGGCTAATCAATTTGTTGACATAGCACCTCACGGTAGGAGAGCAGACTACCTGGGCAGAACAATGGCCTGGCTGTTCACACCTTTACCCGGCGGTGGCTTACCTGCCAGACACAGCTTGGCTTGGTTTTAAAAACAATACACAAACATGTTCACAAGTATGGGAGGTGTATAAACAATTCTCTTTATCTTATCAGAAGTTTTCAAGTGCAACATACATAGACATGTGGTTTCCATAAAAATTAACATGGTCATACCTATCATAAAATGTGACTTTTCATATAACAGCAGTGCCTTTGGGGGAAAAAAAACTAAGCAAAACGTACATGTGTATCCACAACTCTCAACAAAAGAGACAAAACCAGACAGTCAACCGTTACCCGTGTACAATGTACATGTAGGATATGGCTGGGCAGGAGACGCCATTTTGAATTGCTCTGTCAACACGCGTACGCATGCGTAGTGCTTAATCTCGCAGTTGACTTCGCCTGATACATATGTTTCAAAGTTTCTGAGTCAGCGCAACAGAATTGGGCTAAGTTGAAATTGCTCCCCTGGTCGTTAATATTTTCTACCAGCAAGGGTACAAGTTCATCACAGTTTGATTTGAGTCTACAAAAAGATCTCGATGCACTGACCCGGTGGCAGGACACATGGCAAATGTCCTTCAACCCCTCAAAGTGCCACACACTTCATATTACTCGTAAGCGTAACCCGATTATTACACAATACCGATTATGTTCAGAAAATCTTACTAGTGTTAAAACCCATCCATATCTTGGAGTCCAACTATCACAGGATATGAAATGGGACACACATATAAATTATGTCACTGGTAGAGCTAATAGGATACTGGCAGTCATCCGCCGTAACCTTTCGCACTGTCCTCTTCGTGTCAAATCTACATGCTACAAAACACTTGTACGCCCACACCTAGAGTACTGTGCGACTGTATGGGATCCCCACACCATCGCTGGTTCCCAGGCGCTGGAGCGAGTCCAACGAAGGGCGGCGCGAATGGCTGCTAGTGATTATGACTATACCAGCAGTGTTTCTGACATGCTAAAGCGCCTCCAGTGGCCGTTACTTGTTGACAGAAGGAGAACCGCTCGCTTGATATCTTTATATAAAATTGCTCATGGACATATTAATATTCAAATGGAACAATACCTCAAACCTGCCCATAGGCGCACCAGAGGAAGTCATGAATATAAGTATCAAGCAATACCTGCCAAAACAGACTGTTTTATATTTTCTTTTTTTCCAAGAACGATAAATGAGTGGAACAAGTTACCGGGCCAGCTTGTAAAAGCCCAGACAGTGGAGGCCTTCAAGGCCGGGCTTCTGGCCGCGCAGCCATAGTCCGTCGCACCCCCCCCCCTCTCAGTGATACCCCAGTAGGGGTGGTTAGAGAGTATTGAAGAAGAAGAAGAAGAGTCTTGAATCACACTGTAGTAATACGCAGGGCCAGGGCCTTGATTATAGTGAGGGAATCTCTACATTATTCACAATTCTAAGTTACAATTATAACGTTACTGGTTTGCCGGATGGGAAGCTCAGTTTCTGCAAGCAGGTAAAAAAAATCTGATTTGATTTTCTACATTTATGGTTTCTGTAATTTACCTGGAAGTCTTGCAAAATTATGTCTTATGCCAGGCTACAAGCCTATGATATTTATATAATATTACAACAGCTGAGGCTCTGTATGGATCTATAATAATGTGCCTTTCTGTATGTCGAAATGTTGATCTATCAAAGTTAAACATTTGAAATGGTTTATAGACACAGGAAAACGTTTTGAAGTGGCATTGTTAATTCCTTACAATACACATCCTAGCTTGGTTTTCTAGACAGCCAAGCACCAAGGCCGTTCACACTCCACAGGGTGCCAGGTAGCATCCAGCGGCACCCTACCTAAGAAGTTTTCACACTGGGTGGAGAGGGGGCAATTATCGAACAATGGGGAAAAATTGTGAAAATTGCGGTCAAAGGTGGTTGCTATGTGTTGCCAAGGGGAGCCAACGCCCATTTCACTGGGGGCCCAGAAAATGACTTAACCCTACTGAGCAAATCAGGACTTAATTTCATCATCGGCAACGGCTAGTCTCCGAGGAGTGGCCCTCAGTCCTTGGGATGTCGATGTCGTAGGTGGCTACTTAGACTAAGCCTGGTGTGGAAGAGTCTAGAACATTTTGTACAGGGGAGGGTAGGAGGTGGGCGCGGACGGAGAAGACGCTCCTTGCGTTCCTGTCTTTTGGCCTCAGCTTCAGTCCGGCGTTGTTCCTCCATGTAGCCGTTCCCTGCATCACAGTGCGTCGCCACTTGGTCCTGTCTTCTGCCAGGTGCTCCCAGCTGTCCTGGTCTATTCCGCAACGAAGGAGTGTGTCCTGTAGTTCGTCACGGAAACGAGGGGCGCCTCTAGGTCTTGTGCCAGATGCAAGTTGGGAAAACAAGATCTGGCGGGGAGTCTGGTTTCGAGCATTCTACTGACGTGTCCTGCCCAGCGAAGGCGGTGTCCTGCCACACCGTGGTCTCGATGCTGGGAAGATTAGCTCGGAGGACTTAATTTACATTAATCAATATCTGACGATGTTTCAGACATTTGCTCGGGAGCAAATGCAGCAAATAGCTTCACCACTCCCCCCGTACCAAAAATGGTAAAAGAGTGGACTCTTCCAGGGAACAAAATGACTTTTCCCTACAAAATTGAATTCATAAAGAATTGCCCCACTTATGCATGAATGGAGTATTACAGTGACCTCTATGTTATGTTACAACTCTTCCAAAGGGCTCTACGTTATGGTATAGATCAGTCTAATATTACTTGCGCACATAATATGTACTTTTTATAAATAGCACATTTTCCAATATTCAATTTTTTCTTCAAGAATAGGCTGTCCAGAGACCCAATGGTACGTTATTGAAAACATTTCCATACAAAACATGGACTTTGTCATAATAACGTCATTTCAAATTTGAATTAAAAAAGGGTCCCCCCAATTTAAAAATGGAATCTTACATGAGTATGTTGTCCTGTTCGCAAAATTATCAACAGATAGTATTGGAAAAATAGCAAAGAAAAAAGTTAACATTTTTACTATTTTGACAGTCCTTAGCAATAAGTATTGAATAAAAATGTCAGGACTTTACTGACAAAGCAATGATAATTAACTATTAAATAAAAAGGATCGAACGAGAAAGTATGCCTATCTATAGACAATAAATATAGAATGCGATCCGACTCGCGGGAAGGCCGGGACCGAGGGCGATGCGGAATACACCGTGTTGTATTTTATTTATATCATACCCACCCAAGAAAACACGCCTTTCAATGCAAGATGAGCCAAAAGTTGGTGCCACTGAACCCTAAAATGCAACAACATCAATTCCAACGTCCGGATTCTGTATTCGAATTTTCGAAGGAGGCACACGCGGTTAGGGAGAAACGCGTTCGAATCGTTTTATGGAAGCCATGGAAGCGTTCGATAACGGGTTCCGGACCGGGCCGTACCGTAAAGTACCGGAACCCGTTATCGAACGTTATTGCGGCCCGGGTATGATATAAAATAACTTACAATACTTGTAAATTAAAACAGCCAATCAGCGACAGGAATGGGTGTCCCATGACCACAACATTATGCACATTAGTATTTTGTTGGAAAATGAAAAAAAGCGATTTTAAAAGCCTGTATCAAAGTAAGAAAAAATTAAAATAAAGGGAGTATTCGCCCAATGTACCTTTATACCAAATTTCAAGTCATTTCGCCAGAAAATGAAGAAATCGAATCAATTTAACGAAATGACAGATGGAGGAGAAGAAGAGACATGCGAAAAACACCACACTGCTACGTGGTTTTGGTGAAGCCACAATTATGTCACTTCTTATTGCAAAAAAGCAATCTACGTTTCAAACTTCGCAACCTTATCATTTCCGCTGAAGTACTATGACATAGGGAGCCCAAAATCCAAAACTTTAAAGATCATATCAAGACCTACTAACCTACGAAGTTATCTTTAATGACAATCCGTCCATGTCTTCTTGTTTTTCGTGTTAAAATACATTACAAGCATGTGGAAACACTATGTATTCCTATGAAATTCCTTTGATATTCTAGCACACTACACACAATACTATACCATAATATACTTGCCCCTGAGGCGTCGCAGAAAATGAATCGTTTCATAACCACCTATTTCTTTTAATCAACAGAACTTATTCCTGTATATTTTCTGTGGGGAACTAGAGATTGCTACTTACCCTTATTAAGTTGAAAAGTCCCCTTCATAAGAGCGCCTTTTCCACGAAATGGGTGGGACAAATCCCACCCTCCAGCCGCGCCTGTCAAAACGAGAATTTCGTTACAGATTTATCTGCCTAATACCTGATGACTGGAAACATACGTTGCATGGAGCATAGTTGCGATTACTGAAAAAAAGGCTCAATGATTCTCTTTTTCCTGTTACAAATCAAACATCAGATCCCATAACCATTACCTGCTGCTTCTATCTGGTAAGTTCCCGTGTGTTTGACTGTGAAGTGTTGGATCCCGTTGTTGAGTGTCACCAGACCGTCATGGTCCTGTCCGCTGTAGTGCTGTCCCAGGTCAGTCGGGCCAAGACGACCCTTTGTTCCCAAAGTGGTGAAGGTCGCTTTGAAATCTTCACAGAAATATTAAAAAAGTCTACATGTAACCAATATATTTGTCTCCGTTTTTACTGGGTTGTTAGTTTTATTAATGATAAAAGAGAGACTACGTGTATGTTACCATTATTTTTTCATAAAGAAGCGTTACACACTTCCGAAAGCAGTCCAGGCATCCATGCTCTAAACAAGATTAGTATATCACCCAGTGGTTCCTCTATAACGCACATTCATTTTTTCACATATTTATGGCTTCACCACACCACGAAGTGGTGTGGTGAAACCATATTGCTTTTCTGATGTTTCTTCTCCTTCTCCTTCTCCTTCTCCTCCTCCTGCCATTTTTTTAAATGGATTCAGCTTCTTCATTTTGGGGCCTAAGGACCTGAAATTTGGTATGGAGGTACAGTGGGCAAATACCCCCAGGCGTTTTTTAAATTTTGGTGATACAGGCTTTTAGAATGGTTTTATTTGAGCTTTTTGGCTGTGTTATAGCAAATGTATTACTGTGCTGTGTACCACGTTTGGGCATGAGTCATCACAATGGAATGCAGGGCATCAACCAATAGGCATGCAGCTTTCCTCTATTCTTCTTGTTGATTGGCTGTTGGGATTTAACTTGATTAACACCTGCACAGAGCATTTTCATACTGACAGTATGTCTGTATTCAAGTGTTTTGGTAGGTATTTCAAGCTTTCCTGCTCCAGCATTGGAATGCGGGGCATGAACGTTTTTTTTTATTTTGAAAATCAACAGTTTGCATTATGCAATTAAAAATCCTAACCAATAATGTAGGGAATAGCTATCCAACTGTTGTTTTAGTTGTATGTTACTTCATATTATAGTTATATCAATGTAAATCATTGTTTTCCCTTGTGTTTCTCATTCTTTCCCTACCATGTCGTAAAATGTGGTGAAGCCATCGCTGTATTTGCTCCTAAGCATATATTGGCCTTTCTAGTTATAATATGTTTCTCTAGGAGTTTAGAGAGAAGCTTGAATATGTGAAAATCTGGGTTGTTTAACCATGGACTCTAACCAAAGACAGAGGTTAATACAGTAGATTAGTTTAGATTAGTTGTCGTTGATACCATGTAGCCTGGATTCTATCACTCACCACATTCCTGTTTTTTTTCTGTTAGCTGGATAGGCAGTGTTGGTGAGACTGTTGACTCGTCACCAGATTCTGATGTCACAAGTGGAGTGGACCAGGACGATAGAAGGTGTGTCTCCGTAGAGAAAACTGGTGTCTTTAACCAAGAGCAAAGACAAGAAGAAATTAAAATGTCAGAAATGTATTTCGTTTTCATAAATAAATGGCATCGTATGCTTCACACAGTATTTTTAATAACGAACAAACCCAGGGCGTACCTGGTCCAAATCATGTCATTCAAGTGTAATGGGAACCCCAAGCATACATTTGTGATCCCCCAAAACATACTTCCCTTTCCGTGTGTAATCATTATAGGTTCAATATTAAATCATCCTTTATAGCCTTATGCGTTGAATAAAGAGGGGACATCTAGGAAGGCCGATTGCTGGTGGCAGACGTCTTTTTCAGAGGCCCAAAAAAGACCACCCCAAAGAACTTACCGAATTGAGCGAACCTGAACTTTAGAAAACATACAGCCCCACCCCCCTCCACACAAACACACGTACACAAACTGCGGAGGTAATTTGAATGAAGTAATCATTTTATTATCAAAATGCCCATGTAAATCAAGCACTCTGGCTATCCTTATATTTCAAAGATCCTGAAGACCTCATATTTTTTGCCGTCGACGAGCAACCAATAGTACGATTACAGTTCCTGGCATTCCAGCTGATGATGACCTCGCCACCGCAAATATCATCAACTCAAGCTTCGCCGAGGTGTCTAATGCCCTACCCGAGCTGAACACCTCCTTGTTACCATCCTTCCTCCCCTCCCCTGAACAGCTGCCAAGGTTACTTGACTGGGATGTCTACCAGCGTCTTCGAGCAGTAAAGCCAAACAAAGCCTCAGGCCCTGATAACATCCCACCGAAACTGATTAAAGAGTTTGCCTGTGAGCTGACTTCTCCCCTCTGCCACATCCTCAATGCGTCATTTGCAACTGGCGTGGTCCCTCACCAGTGGAAGCAAGCCGTGGTTGTGCCTGTTCCAAAGTCCCAACCTGCTACACTGGACAAGTTGAGGCCCATATCACTGACCCCCCAGTTTGCTAAGATTGCGGAATTCTTTGCCTCTAAGTGGATTACAGACGACATTAAGCTAGACCAACGGCAGTTCGGCAGCTTAAAGGGCCGCTCCACGGTTCACGCCCTCTTAAGCCTGGTGGACAGACTATCCCTTGGAGCCGACACACCACAACCATCAGCACCATTGTAGCCACTGATTTTACTAAGGCTTTTGACAGAGTGGACCATAATACAGTGATCACTAAGCTCTCAACAAGGGTTTGAGGCCCGAGCTCGTTCCGTGGGTGTGCGACTTCATTTCTGCGAGAAAACAGAGAGTACGGTATAGAGGAGCCCTTTCCGACTGGGTTACCCTCTCTTGCGGAGTTGCCCAAGGCACATTACTGGGACCTATACTCTTCCTTGTTTTGATCGACGATGCCGCTAGTGATGCCGTCAGTTATGCCCTGAAATACGTAGACGACATGAACTTTCTTGAAACAAGATCCATCCATCTGCCGTCCTGTCTCCAAAACGACCTTGACCAACTACATTCCTGGACAATGGACAACCACATGCTCCTGAACAGTAGCAAGTGCATGGCAATGCACATTACATTCTGCAGAAACCCACCACTGTTACCCCCACTGCGGATTGACTCCTCAGTTCTGTCTGTTGTCCCCTGCCTGAAGATACTCGGCCTCCGCCTTCAGAGTGACCTACGTTGGAACGAACAGGTCAACCATATGTCTGCAAACGCCGCCAGGAAACTGTTTATTCTCAAGCGTCTCAGGAAGTTTAATCTCTCACAAAATGAACTCCTAATCATCTACACTGCATACATCCGTCCACTTATGGAGTACGCTGTTCCCGTCTGGTCCCCGGGACTTTCTAAACAACAAGTTGATCAGCTGGAGCGGATACAACGTAGAGCCTGTCGGATCATCATGGGTCCTGCCTATACCGGATATGCAAGCTCACTCGAACATCTGAAACTCACAACGCTTGCCGAAAGGCGTGAGACTCTGTGCCTGAACTTTGCCAGATCACTTATCAAGTCTGAGTTCGAGCATTGGTTGCCGAGTCGCAGATCTAGCATCACAGGCAGAAGTACCAGAAATGCTCAAAAACTTGACATTCCAAAGGCTAAAACACAGAGATACAGAAACTCACCAATACCCTACCTGACTCGATTGTTGAACCAGCATGACTTTTAATCTTCAACTTATTTTTAATGCATTGTCAATGAGCGTATATTCTCTTACTGTCACTACCAATTCTTTGTATATATGACGCTCCTCTTTTATCGATTATTGTACTATATTTTAATCATGTACTGTATTGTACTATTGCACTACCTTTTAACCCTATATCGCCAACCATTATATTGTACTTTTATGTAATATTGATCTTAATTCAGTGTACTCCACTGCGACATCAATAAAGCCAATCTGAATCTGAATCTGAATCTGAATCAAGCTATAGAATCGTTTGGCACTGTTTGGCAGATTATGCACAATACCTTTTAAAGGCATGGTGCGAGGTTCACGATTTTTAGCAGGCAGGTTGTCTTCGGGATGGCCATTGTAAATGCTAAAAATGGGCTTCGTTAAGGTTTCTTACGTGACTGGAGTTGACCTTTTGTGTTTGTGTTTTTTCTTGTTAGATATCTCGGGAATCCTTAAATGTTTTTTAGTTGGAAAGTTACCGTTGAGTATACGAAGGTCGAGTTCGAAAAGGGGCCTCGTGGGGGGTCCCCGCATAATTATATTAGACCTTTTTCTGTTGGTCGTTTTTGTTGTTAATAGGATAATTCCAGAATCTGCAAATGGATTTTTTGTGAGCAAGTTACCGTTGACGATAGCAAGATCAAGTTTGGAAATGGGCGTCGTGGGAGGTCCGTACGTTGCTGTAGTGGGCTTTTGGTGATTGTTGGTTAGTTTGTCAGTAGTTGAAGCTGTGGAAAAGCAATGTTCTTCCCTGTTTTTGTGAATAGGTTAATGAGTTTAGATAGAGGGTTTGAAGTTTAGAGTCTCTAGTAGGTTGTGGCTATGTGGGCATGGGGCATTTTGTGTGCACATTTTTAAGTGCAGGCGAAGTCTTGCTCCTTTTATCATGTTTATGTAACGTTGCTAGTTTAAACTAATAACAACACGGCTAGGGTGAAGAGTTGTTTGTTAAAACAACATTGCTTGCCAAGAGGTCCCCTAACAAAGAACTCTTGCCAGGTTTCTCCCGGTGGAGGAACCAGGCACCATGGATTGCTGGAAAAATAGTAAAAATTGGACGAGATAGAGGGAATAGTATGCCAATGATATGATATCAATAAGGCCAAAATTTTCTTAAAGAATGTTCCTATTACGCAGGAAAGACGGAAAAAATTTTGGGAGTCGTTATAGATGACAAATGAAATTGGAAAGACCAAGTCACTCCTATCAGTAAAAAAGTTGCCAAAACAATACGACTCATTGCGAAAATCAAATACAATATCCCCCAAAAGACCCTCACAACAATTTACAATAGCCTTATATACCCTTACTTGACCTATTGTAACATTGTTTGGGGATGCGCCTGCCGTACAATTCTTCATCCCCTAATTACTCTACAAAAAAAAAATCACAAGAATAGCAACTGGATCTGAATTTCACTAACACACACCCCCCTTTTTTTTCAAAATTTATACTACTTAATATCCATGATATCAATAAATTACAAAATAGCATTTTTACTTTCAATTTCCTTTCCAGCAATCTCCCCAATATATTTGATGATTTCCTAAAGACGAATTCACAACCACAATACTAGGCAAAGAAATCTGCTGCATCTCCCACTTTTCCGCACGTCATTAGCACAATCCTCCGTTAAATACAAATGTTTCTCATTATAGAACAGCCTTCAGACAAACATACGAACAATTTCCTCTTTCCTGAATTTTAAAAATACCCTGAAAGCCCATCTTATAAACGACCCCAGCCCCATGTATTAGATTCTTATCTTCAGTTATTATTTTATTTTATTAT